AGTTAGAGAGACAACCTAGAAATCATGTTATACAAAAATACTAAAATGTTATACGAACCTTTTGCCTGTCAGACATGAATGTGAAGTTAGAATTTGCGCTGAGATCCAAGTCATCTCCAAGACATTCTAGAAACCATGTCCAAGAATTTATRGTTTCTGCCTCAACAATGGCATATGCAACTGGGTATATACCATTGTTAGAATCAATCCCAACCGCAGTAAGTATTTGACYAGGAAATGGTCCTTTCATGAAGCAACCATCAAGCCCAAGAAAATCTCTCAAACCTGCTTTGAATCCCTTCTTTAAAGCACCTAAACACACATAGATCCTCTTGAATCTCCTTGTGTCAATCGTTGGATTTGTCTCACTTTCAACTTCCAACTTGACTGTAGTGCCTGTTTTTGTCCTTTGTAGTTCAAGTACGTAATCTCTTAAAAACATTGTACTGCTCAGCATAGTCTCCTTGAAGCTTAGTTTGTGCCATAATCTTTGCTCTGAAGGACTTTTGGTGTGAAACCTGCTGTGAATATTTTCTCTGCATCTCTGTTTGAATGGCTTTAATAGGGATAGTTGGGTTATGAAGTATGGTTTCTGAAAGATGTTGGGCCAAGAAATTAGCTGTGCAAGCTCTCACATACCTAGTTGGAAGACATTTATGTGTCTCCACATAAGTTTTGACCAGCCATGTTTCATCATATTTACCCCTGAATACATGTAAAACCCAAGGACATGATGGTCCACTTTCCTTTACTTTTTTACCTTTATTAGACACATCAATTAATTCATTCATGTCAGGAAGGGTTCCCCCACATACAACCCTTATCCTCACCTTGTCATTCTTAATTACATAAATTTGTCTTTGAGTCTCTATTGCATGGATGTCAATCAATTTTTTTACTTCCTGTTTATTTCCAAATACTTTACCAACAAAGAAAGGAGCTGAACACCTATGATCACTTCCACCACTATCTGCCTTATTCCTTCTCAGATTCTTCAATTGTTTTTTCCTATCTGTCTCTAAATCATTTTCATCTGAGTTGCTCTCGAAATCTTCCAAGTTAATTGTATTCGCATCCCCATCAACATTAGAGCTTACAATCATCATATCATTCTTCCCAACCCATTCTACATCAAGATCAGTGTTTAATCGAAAGGTGTTCATGTCTACATCAATTTCATCAACAAGATTATGAGATTCAACCATGAAGTCACTGTCTTCACTACTTTCACTCTCTAATTTCTCGTCTTCACCACATGTATCCGCTATTTCGTAGCAGGTAGGTTCCCAAAATGGATCAAAAGAATCAGTAATCATTTCAGCATACTCTGCCTCACTCAATTCATTTGTCTCAATGCATTTCCCCACCTCAATGGCCAATTCATGCTCAATATATATATCAAATATTTTACAGCCAGGAAAGTATTTCAAAAGATTTAACACATCCTCATCATTTTGTAAAGCTTTCAGACCAAGATCTAAGTTTAGATTTGGAACTCTAAAATGATAAGATGTTGGTAAATGTTTCCTATATCCAATCTCTTGCAACATTGCCTKCAACTCATGTATAGAAAACTCATCTGTATCTACCAAGTCAATAATATCAAGCTTACCATTTATATATTTCCTGTCTGGAGCTTTGGTGAACAACCCCCCATGATGTATCTTCAAGCTAAGCAATGTAGGATAAGAATCTGTTGAAAACATTGCTTTCTAGTCGAGATTAGCATTTGTTTCATCTTCAAAACAATGTAGGATAATCATCTTTTGACTCTCATCTTTTTTATCTTCAAAAAAAAATCATCACTCAAAAAACCCACTGTAAAATATATGTATGAATAATGGTTTCAAGAAAAGATTAAAAAGGAAAAACCCACTCAAAAAGAAAATCATCACTCAAAAAACCCACTGTAAAATATATGTATGAATAATGGTTTCAAGAAAAGATTAAAAAGGAAAAACCCACTCAAAAAGAAAATTATCATTCAAAAAACCCACTGTATGTATGAATAATGGTTTCAAGAAAAGATTAAAAAGGAAAAACCAAATCATCACTCAAAAAACCCACTTTAAAGGAGAAACTTCAAAGCTTAAAAAGGAAAATCTTCACATACCATATACTTGAAGATATATTGTATCCCCTTCGAATTCCTTTCGAACAACCCATTGTGTGTGCACCATTGTTTAGCTTGAAGATAGGTCAAAACATGAAGAGATCAAGGAGACGGATGAAGAAATTAAATCGCACCACTGATTGATGAAGAAATCAGAATGTAAACACATTGATTAGAAAAGGATTGGAGAGAACATCACCATGAAGCTTTTTCTAATTTATCTTTTAGGGATTTTGTTCAATCAGGCGGCAAAGTAGATGAAAAGGGTTTTCTAATCCCTAGGGAGGACCAAATCTATTATCAAAAACTAAAAAAAAGGAATTGACGAATTTACCCCTTCTTAACTATACTTTGTTTAACGCCGTTACTAACAGGGACTCCATCTGTTATAAAATGGAAAGTACAGGGACGTTGGTCGTTAAAAGATTCTTTGAGGGACGTTAGTCGTTAATTTTTGCAAACCACATGGACCAAATTTGTATTTAACTCTAATAAATATTATATTAATTTATATGAAATAAAATATAATTAAAAGTTGGACACAAGGTTAATTGTTAATGTTTATTACCTTACCTATTTGATTTTTGTAATTTCATTGTAATAAATTAAAGTTTTAACTTCTATGGTTGAATTCTTTACATTTTGCTTTTATAAGTTAAAGATTTTTTTAGAATTAATTTAATAAATAAAATATATTAAAAAAAATTATATGCTCATGTTAAAAAGCAAAGATGCAGAAAAGGAGGGATTGTAAAGTTCATTATTGCCCCTGTACTAATGCTATTTTACAGTTTAAGCCACCCTCTAAGTTAATATACTAAAAACACACTCCTTTTCCTTTTGCATGAGTCGTTACACCTTTTCAACTTCCAAAATTTGTCTTCGGTTGTAGGTTTCAAGAGGACGAATGTGTATTTGGTTTATGTTGTTAAAAATTACCCTTTATTAGATGAAGACATTACTAATGGATTGTTTGTTTACCTCTTAATAGTTCTACTAAGAAGGAACATCTGAATCATTAAGAGATGAATCTTGTTTGGCAAAAAAATGTCTGTCTCTTAATGGTTCTAAAACCTTCTGAATGATTTTGTATCATGAATATCGCTTAACCATTAAACGCTCTGATTTCATGGTAAACAATTACAAGACAATTATATTTCATTTTGCATTATATCATGATAGCATCTTAATCATTTTGATCACTTAATCATTCTACACCAAACCATTCAGTAACTGTCAAACAACCCCTGATTTATTTTTACCTACCAATGACATTTTTAACCTTATTTTCAGTCAAATAAAAGTACAGGTGTTTAATTGCCAAACAGTTAAGTGTAGGGTATTTCATGAATTTTATACAGTCATAAGGGACCAAATTGGAAATATTCAATCATGAAACTTGAAATCTGGAAATAGCAATTCGGGTTTCACTTTCCCAAATTATGGCGCGAAATTGTTCTTGGAGTTGACCAACCACCGTCTCAAGCCCCAACGTTGGTGGGCGGGTACAGTGATACAATTCAAACCCTACTTCCTGGCTCCCATTTGAAAATTTTTTAAAGGGTTTCAATTATTTTTTCAATAATTCCATTTCGTCTCTTGTACATTCCACCTTCTTCGCAGATACCCATAATTGGCTTAATTGATCCTCAGATCAATCGAATTCTTTCCATATCTACGACCAATGAATCTGTAGTATGATGTCGGGATTTCAAATTCTGCAGTCCTGTAGTCGTGGAATTCCTTTCCTTTCTTGCTACTGTTCCAAATTGATGGCTTATTGGAGTTTCAGTGACTACCGAAGTTGGATCGATTACGATGTGCTGATTACAGACCCAGTTGTTTATTTGTCGTTTTAGAAGCAGAATTGCTCGCATAAGGTTTGTTTTTCTTGATTTTGTTGAAGTGGATATGGATGTTGGATTTATTGTTATATGTTTGAACTTGTATTGATGTTCTTCCTCAGATTTGTTGATCTTCAGAATTAATGGTTTTCTATCTGTGTTTTTGTTTTTGAGAAACAAGTTAGCTTACAATGATATTGATGCCAATTTCTACCAACCAATTTGGGGATTTTCACTTCCTTTTCATAGGTTTATTGGGTTTCTTGATGATGTAGACAATTACTACATAATTCAACTTCACTTGTTGCTATTTATGTTGTCTACACAGCTTTGACCTTGTGGGCAGTGATGGAAAACAGCCAAAACACCCCTAGTGTTATTGCAAAGTTGATGGGTCTTGATGAGATGATGCCACCATGGAAGCAGCCTATTTCTAGACAATTGAGGGTGTTGTCAGATAACTATCTTCAGAAATCTGGTTCTATAGGGAAGAGAACAAGAAAAGACTCACAAAACAATCTGCTGAGATCCAAGAAAAGGGCAAATCTGAGAACAAATTATTCAAATGAAGATATTTCACCCAAAGATCTTGAGCAAAAAAGTTCGAATCTTGATGGTATTCAGGGTACGGAGTCGATCAAGAATGGTGAAAATGCTTCCAGGTCTTCCTTTCTAGTAAATCCTCAGACCACTTTTGCTTGGGAGGCCAAGAAACAACTATTAGAGAGACTCAAAATGACCAAAGTTTCTCAAGAACTTCGGTCTAGTACTCAGAGTAGTAGTCTTAAATCGAAGCCAGGATCAAAGTTTGGTGGTTTGATTGGTATTAGCAGCAAAGAAGGTAGGACATATAAACCTGTTACCAAATTGCCAATCTTCAAACTTACGAACTTCTCTTCTAATTCGACCACAAAGTCTCTGAAAATTACTAGAAGTGTTGATCTGAAGCCAAGTTCTGTGGTGAACCATATGTCTACAAACATCAAGAAAGATAATATGGTTTCAAACTCATCAACTCCCTTGTCTGTAAGTTCTAATTCAGATGCAAGAACCGAAATGGTAGGCCTGTCGATGCAACTTCAGCTTCTGGAATCAGAATCAGAAGAAAATGACATGGACCCTGAAATGGTTACATCGAGTGACGATGAAAAATCTTGTTGTACAGATGAAAACATAAAGTCAGTGGTCTCGGTTGGATCCAAAGAAAGTCGGGATTTTTCGTACCTGTTAGATGTATTTGATGAATCGGGGTTTGAGGGTGGCGATGTGGAGATAAGGTTTGAAAGATGGCATTCTTCAGAATGTATGGGAAGCCCCTTGGTTTATGAAAGATTAGAGAAGAAATACGGGAAGCAAGAGTTGTGGCATAAGGCGGAGAGGAGGCTGCTATTTGATCGAATAAACGCAGGGATGATCGAGATTCTACGACCACTTTGGTCCAAGCCTTTGAGGAGAAAGATGACGAAAAATATGTGGCGGAGAGATGCGATCGAAGAAGAACTGTGGATATTGTTAGCGAGTCAAGAAAACGGAGTCCACGATGGGGTGGCTCAGAAGGCTGTGGGAAGAGGACCATGGTTGGGGCCGGAGGACGAACTGGATTCTATTGTTAAAGAGATTGAAACTTTTTTGTTCGACAAGCTAGCAGCAGAGTTAATCTGTGTTTGACAAAAGTGCGATTGGTCTGGTGGTACCTGGGTTACCTGTAGAGCCGAGGGGAGGTGTTCAACTGCAAACCTCAAGGAAGATGATGAGTATGGGTGAGTTTTTGCCATAGATACTTGAAACGAGAAGAGCCTGCATATGTTTATTTTTTGTTAAAGAAAGATATACAATTACAACGATTGATTTTGCATATAGTTTACGAGTGTAAAGCAACAGAAATAATAGTTATTCTTGTGGTAAAACAAGGTGTTCTGATATCACTTGTTATGAAACGAAGGGAGATTTATAATCAAATTAAACGAAAATATTATTGTTTATCCGAAGCTAAATCAAGCTTAAGTTGGTCTCTGGAGGAATTTATTGGGTGACGTTTGATTTGTTGGAATCCGACAAAATTTGAAGGGTCAATTCCATTTGCATGTTCCGTTCATTATTTGAGTTTCAGTAAGAAATTTGAATTCCAAATATGATGGTATGTAGATTTTTTTTTTCTTTTTTCCAATTTCTTCGTACTTTTATGAGAAAAAAAAGCTATTCATCCCATCATGAGCGTTTTCCCCACCGCCCCTTCATCACCATCACCAAAGGTCGCCATTGCCACCACCACAACCATTCAACGAACCAAACATTCAAATCTTTTAATATATTCCATTTTAATTTCTGCCAACAAAATTTATTGTCAAACGTAATAAAATTACATTCCAAGTTCTTTCATATTTCAATTCTTTTTTGGATTCCAATGCCACAAATTTCATCTTACGAACGGAATGTGAAATTAAAATGAAATTCAATCAAGATTTTGCTAAATGATTGAAAAAAGTAAAAAAAAAAAAAAACCCATTTTAATTACTGATCATTTTAAGGTACAACTTTTGAAGCTTAAAGCACTCCAATTCAAGCAAGAATTACAAAACAGAAATTAAATAATGTACATAAGGATCACTCCTTATGACGGAGTAAGGTAGACATTGACATGAACAATGGTTTCAACACCATCAGTAACGTGTTCATCCACCTGAGGTAGACTTTCAATCGTAGCATACCCTTTCGCCTCTTCATACTTTCCGGTCCCACCAATCACGGCGATATGAGATACTTCCGACGCCGTCCGATGAACCCCGAAGAAAGTAATCGTGTCCTCCACCTCATGGTCGCTGCCATGGAACAACGTCGTGAGTGCGAATGTGTGGCTACTTCCATCCAATGAGCTCGCTAGATAAAACCCTTGTCCTCTGCCTAGCACGCCGGTGCCAAGCTCGTGTCCTTCGGTCAACTCGTTGTCGATGACCGTGATTGACCCAAACATGAGTTGCTGGAGGGTTATACCGGCCGGAAGTTGGCCGGCAGCAACAAACGGTAAGTTGTTCCCTCCGTTAACAACATTGTTGTTCCCGGTGTTTTGGAGGACGGTGTTGGCATTTGGGTTATTGGGGTTATTGCCGTTGAAGCCGGCTAAGAACGGGATGTTGTTGTTATTGACTATACCATTGATATTGTTCAGTGGGACTCCGCCGGTGATCGGAAAAACTTGACTGTTAGGACTAGAAAACGGAACAACGTTGGCATCAGAGGTGGCAACGATGCCGGTGACCACCCTGCTTGTAGATTGAGATCCTCCTAGAACATCATGCATAAAGAAGCTTAAAGTTGGATGTTCCGCACCACCACCGGCGGCGGTTGCAGCAACCGCCGCAGACCCACCTGTGGGAGTGGTGACCGGTGCCACTGTGGTTGTTGGGGTTGTGGCAGCTGGAGAAACCGTGGCACCAGGGGCAACGATTGGGACGGAAGGAGTGACAAGAGGTGCAGGTGCGATGGTAGTCGGTGGTTCGGGGTTAGGATCGTCTTGAGGAGCCACGTCAGGGTCTATTGGACCAGAGGAGACATGTTGGTTGGTCAGAAGTGGGTTCGAATCTGTGAGGGTTCGGGTGGCAGCTGCGGATTCAAGAGAGATGGCTAACAAAAAGATGCAAAGTGTGGTTTTGAGAATGGTAGAGGTGCATAGCTTAAGATTGGCCATTTGGGTTTTGATTTAGTGGAAAGAGATAGATAGAGGGATGTTTGTGTCTTGATGGGATATGGGCTTTATATATAGATATAATGCATGTATGTATAGTTGATGAGTGTTGGAGCTGATGAAATGCTATGGAGTAGTTGTCTTTAATGGTTTGGTTTACAAGAATATTTGGTCTACTTCAATAAGCAACGAACCTTTTAAATATAGAATTTTTTTTAATTATATAGTTGAATATAGTTATGTTTGTTTTTATGTTGTCTCACCTTGTCCCAGTTCTTGTCTCTGTTCTATGTCGTGTCAAACGTGAGACAGTGAGTTCTTGTTCTGTCCCATGCTGCATCAAACATAGGACAGTAAGTTTTGTCCCGTCCCATGTACCAAACGCAGCTTCATAGTTGAGGATGACTGCTGCAGGAGTTAGCTTTAGACACGAAAACAATGATAAATTTGCAAACCGACGAAGACATGAAACCATAATCTTAAAAGCATAAGGACAAAAGTTGCAGTTTTTAACAAACTACAGGGACCAAAATCGTAGTCTACTCTGGGTTCAAAACGAAAAGTTTGATCAAACCAAACTGAACTGCCCTCCGAGGCAAGGGTGGCTCCATCGGTGGCAATTGACATATGTTTGGCCTCTGAAGTCTGAACCATGGTGTTTTCCGGTGAATAAAAGCACAGTAAACCATTTGATTAATTATAATTTTAAAAGAAGTTCATGACAGCAGCTACGCATTATCGATCCGTCTTCACCCAATTCCTCGAATACACCCAACAGAAAAACCTTACGAACGGAAGAACACTCCATGCCCATATTATCAAAACTGGCGCCACCTGTTGCTCCTATATCGCCAACAGTCTCGTTAACTTCTACGCCAAGTGCCATCTCTTAGCCGAAGCTCATCTTGCTTTTGAAAGTATTGAAAACAAGGACGTGGTCTCATGGAACTCACTAATCAATGGGTACTCTCAACTGGGTGGTCGCCAGAACTCCATCCTTGTCATGGAGCTTTTCAAGAAAATGATGAGCCAGGAGAATACGGTAATGGTGCTACCGGATGCGCGTACTTTCGCAGGTGTTTTCACCGCTGCGTCCGCTTTAATGGATTCATTCGGAGGGAAACAATCCCATACAGTTGCGGTTAAGTTGGGAAAGTGTGAGGATATTTTCGTTGGTAGTTCTTTGTTGAATATGTATTGTAAGGCAGGGTTTGTTGACGATGCCCGGAAGGTGTTTGATGAAATGCCTGAGAGAAATTCCATTTCTTGGGCTACTATGATATCTGGGTATTCCATGCAAAGGATCTGCGGTGATGCTTTGGGGCTTTTCAAGACATTGGTAGCTCAGGAAGAGGAGCACGTGAATGAGTTTGTGGTCACGAGCATTTTAAGTGCGTTTACTTTGCCTGAACTTATTCACATTGGACAACAAATTCATTGTCTTGGACTCAAACATGGGTTGTTGTCTCATGTATCTGTTGGTAATGCGATTGTCACAATGTATTCAAAGTGCGGGAACTTGGATGAGGCTCTCAAGGCATTTGAGTTGTCTAGCAATAAGAATTCTGTTACATGGTCTGCAATGATCACTGGCTATGCACAGGGTGGGGATTGTAGAAAAGCGTTGACGTTATTCTCAAAAATGCATTTTTGTGGATTGATTGCTAGTGAATTTACACTTGTTGGGGTCCTTAATGCTTGTAGTGATGGTTCAACCATGGGGGAGGGGAAGGAGGCTCATGCATACTCGATAAAATTGGGATACCAAGATCAAATTTATATAATGACGGCTTTAGTTGATATGTATGCTAAATGTGGTTCCTTAGATGATGCTCGAAAGGGGTTTGAGCATTTGCAGGCACGAGATATCGTGTTGTGGACTTCGATGATCGGAGGATATGTTCAAAATGGAGAAAACGAGAGTGCAATGGACTTGTTTTGTAGGATGCAAACTGAAGGTATCTCACCAAACGAACTAACCATGGCTAGTGTCCTAAAAGCATGCTCAGGTCTTGCTGCATTAGAGCAAGGAAAACAAGTCCACGCCACTACCATCAAGCATGGATTTGGGCTCGAAGTTCCAATTGGAAGCGCACTCTCAACTATGTATGCAAAATGTGGAAGCCTTGTGGATGGAGGTCTTGTGTTCAGAAGAATGCCATCAAGGGATATTGTCTCTTGGAACTCAATGATTTCTGGTTTGTCCCAAAATGGACAAGGAAGTGAAGCACTTGAATTATTTGAAGAGATGCAGATTGAGGGTACAAAGCCGGATTATGTTACTTTTGTAAATGTTCTCACTGCTTGTAGCCACATGGGAATGGTACAAAGAGGTTGGGAGTATTTCAAAATGATGTCTGATGAATATGGTATCACCCCAAGAATAGACCACTATGCATGTATGGTTGATCTCCTGAGCCGTGCTGGAAAGCTCAGCGAAGCAAAAGATTTTATTGAATCAGCGCCCATTGATCATGGTCTCTGCCTCTGGCGTATCCTATTAAGTGCTTGTAGGAACTATCATGACTATGAGTTGGGAGCCTATGCAGGAGAGAAATTAATGGAATTGAACTCGCAAGAATCTTCTGCATATGTCTTATTATCCAGTATTTATAAGGCTCTGGGAAGATCAAAAGATGTTGAAAGAGTCCGTCAAATGATGAGCTTTCGTGGGGTGAGTAAGGAGCCTGGGTGTAGCTGGATTGAGCTTAAGAGTCACTTTCATGCGTTCGTTGTTGGAGATCAGCTGCATCCACAAATTAAAGAAATACGTTCGGAGGTACATAGGTTGAGCAAGCTAATGAAAGATGAAGGTTACCATCCTGATTCTGATTCAAATTTTGCAGATTTGGAAGCCTGAGATGCTACGATTGTTAAGGAGAGCATGAAATTTGCTATTAGGTCGGATTAATTATTCTTTTTTATCTTATTTATACTCGCCAAACAGGACAGACTGCGAATACCCATCTGTGTTCATTTTTCGCTTTTCTTTTTGTGAGAGATGTATTTGTAATTGACCAAAAATCGAAATAGCGCAAATCTTGAGAGCTATAAATTTTTTTGTTGAAGTAGCTGCAGCAACTCTAAATCATATTTCTCTTACCTTCCCAAAGCTAAAGTAGCATATGATTTTACTATACACCTTGTTCTTGTTCTTGTTCTTGTTCTTGTTCTTGGATCTAGTAGCTCATATAGTTGCTGATATCCTGCTTAGTTTATCTTAATCTTCAACGGGATGATGTCAGTGGTCTTTTTGATAAATAGTGCAGCCTCTACTTCCATTTTCATCTAGCTGTTATGCATCTAACAAAACCATGCAGGGTGGAATAAGTTTAGGTAATGTTTCTGGCATGAAGTTGGAATCTCAAAGGCACTGGGTTTAGTATCTTGAATCTTTTACACTCCATGCTTCTTTTTGGTGAACTGAGGATGTATCTATCAGTTGACGACTCGATGATGCACATACAGGCATGTTTTGCCCTGCTTTTTTAACTAAAAAGATCTCACTTGTAATATGTTCATTTTGCTTTTTAGTTTCCACATGACATTCTTGTTGTCTAGTGTGTGCTAACTGATTGTAGGAGAACGGGCATTCACAGGTATCTTTTGATTTATAGTTATCAACTTTTTCCCATGAATTTGGTGGTTTTCAGGGGTTTGACAAAGCATACCACCTATGTGCTTGAAAGATCGAAATTTGTAAGTTTCCTAACTCGGGTCTCAAAAAAAATTTGTACTCTGTTACCCTAGGCATTAGTATATGTACTTGATAGATCCACAAACAGTCCACTTTCTTACATTAACATGCATACTTCTTTGGTGAGGAGTGTGAGTTTTGCCGTATATAAAATATTATATACCTCAAGAAAAATTAAGACTCAGAGGGGAAAGACTAGAAATCAATAAATAAATGGAACACAGGTTCACTGAAGTAGTTATTTTACCTACTACTCTACTATGATATGAATTTCTGTTGAAGCTTTGTATTTGGAAAGCTTTGGAATTTAGATTTTAAAACCCTATTTGTTCCATTAGGTGAACTTAGATCCATCATTGTCTCTATATTTATACAAATTAGGTAGAGCTTTTCTATCTCATTTCAAGATTGATGATGCATTGTTTCTTGATTCTTATTACTTGATCATTTTATATTATTCTCGTTTAATCATTGCAAATCGACATCTGATGAATAGACGACCACTTCAAAATCTAATGACAAATCCGGGAACAGACCTGCAAACATTGGTATATACCTAAAAAATGGAGGGATTATGATTTTTATGGAAGCAAATACGAGAAAATACAAAGTTGTTACCATGACTTTTTTACATGAACAGAAACCCTAGTTTGCCATTCTTTTTACATAACCCGAAACCCTAATTGTTGATTTCTTTACTTGAGACATCCTTATGAACCTCTGGGCTAGATTTACTTGGATCATCTGGTTTGGATTTATTTGGTATATCCTTATAAAGCTCGTCATTAATGTTCTTTTGCTCCCTCTCCAGTCTCGAGTTTCCTTTGGCAATTCTGTCGTTGATCCAAGCAATAATGTCAGCAAACACAACATCAGTATTCTCTGTAAACTCTCCATAAGTAAGCGCGTGCCACATTCCCGGATACAACTTAAAGGTCTTATCGGTACTAGAAGCAACATCATATAGGAGTCTGCTGGCTAAGGGATCCGTCACTTTGTCATTACCTCCATGCGCAACAAGGAACGGCATCCTTATATCTTTAAGCTTCTTTTCGAGCTCTATAGTGACATTGAATAGCTCGTTAGCCGTTTGCAGGCGCACACGACCTTTGTAGCATAACGGGTTGTTACGAATCTGTCATATGAAATGAAAAAAAGTGAATAATATTGGTGTAAATTAAATGAATAGAAGTGTGTGAATGTTTTACCTCCTCTCTAATTTCAGGATCTCTGAAGGCAAGATCAAGAATATCCTGGCCTGGGACAATTTTCCAAGTTGGTATGAATTTTGTAAGTTTGACCAACATATTGACCACAATTTGTGGTGGCTTCATATTTTCAGCAAGCTGCAAATTTAAACATACACAATAACTTATGGACCAGAATTGATAACATGAGTATTCTTCAGGGGTGTTAAATGTACAACAAATCTCAACTTTATAAAAACTTACCATTCTAGTTGTAGTTTATATTTTTGGTTATTTTATCAACTTAAAATTATGTTTGATAAACTAGTTGATAAATAATCTAACTGAATTATAAATCATGTTTGACAAAAACTAGCTGACGAACATATAAAATGATAAAAATGACATCCTGAAAAATTAGTAATTATAATATTTTATAATATAATTAAAACAAATTTTTAGTTATATAATATATTAATACAAAGAAGACAATAAAGAAAAATTAAA